GAAGGAAGGAAGGAAGGAAGGAAGGAAGGAAGGAAGGAAGGAAGGAAGGATGAAGGAAGGAAGTACCGGTAAGTAAGTAAGTATGTAAGTAAGTAAGTACCGGTAAGTAAGTAAGTACCGGTAAGTAAGTAAGTAAGTAAGTAAGTAAGTAAGTAAGTAAGTAAGTAAGTAAGTAAGTAAGTAAGTAAGTATACACCTTTCATAGGTATGAAATCACAAAGTGCTTCACAGTAAGAAAACAGAACTGTAAAATAAATTCTGAACTGGGTGCCAGTGAAAGGAAGCTAAAACGGGTATGTTGCACACTCGCCTGTCTATGTGGGTTAGCAATGTCCCCGCGGAATTCTGAACAACTTAAAGACAGTCCAGCTCCTTCTTGTGTAAACTTGTGAGTAAACTGTTGTAATGATCAAAACAAGAAGAACTAAATGCATGAATGATTATTTCAGGTTCAGTTTTTTGCAAGAAACATTTCAAATTTGAGATGTCCTTATGACAGTTTCTAGTCAGTTGCTTCATGTGTTGATTTAAAGACATCACAGAATCAAAACTGACACACACACGTTTCTGAGGCTGAACTGGGCAGATAGGGCCTGAACTTAGATAGGTCTTTAGCAAGTGTCTAGACTCCAAAGCACTACTATAGACATTTACTCATTCACACAGTGCTGATGGTAAGCTACATTGTAGCCACAGCTGCCCTGGGGCACACTGACAGAAGCGAGGCTGCCATGCACCGGTGCCACYGGACCCTCTGRCCACCATCAGCTGGCAAGGCGGGTGAAGTATCTTGCGCCAGGACACAACGACTGAGATGGATTGGAGGATCAAACCAGCAACCCACTGGTTACAGGACCCCTCCCCTAACTACTCTACAACAGTCGCCCTAAAACACCAATAACTTGATTTGATGAACCTTATTTTCCGGTGCAACAATCAGAGTTTCAGTATTATTTGAGTTCAATTGTAAGTAGTTGTCACTTAACCATGGTTTATTGCAAGACAATCAATTTGTTAAGGACTTTAATTTATAGAACTCACTTTCTTTGAATGAACAGTAGAGCTGAATATCATCAGAGCTGATATTGTACATTTGTAAACTGATGAACTGCCTGTTCAAGGGGGGAGAATATAACAATTAAATAAAATAGTGCTAAACACAGAACACTGAGGTACACCACAAGACAGCCTGGTAGAGTCTGACATGATACCTTTTACAGAAACATTAATATTTCTGTCACACAGGCAATAATAACAACTCAGTCACTGAACCAGATAAAACAATGTGGTTTCTAAGTCTGTTGGTCATGATCTTGGGATCAACAGGATCAAAGGCAGAGGATAGGTCCAATAAGAACAGAACTGTGTAGTACACTGAATCGCCTGACACCAAAATGTCATTGGAAACCTTTAATAATGTAGTTTAACGTGAACTGTCCCTCTGATTTACGCATCCTATTCATTTTGGTCACATGCACTAAACATCTTAACATCGTCATCGCTGCCACATCCAGCTCCAGTTCCTGTCTTTGTTAGTACCATAACATCCAAACCAAACATCTTGTCTCATCTTGTAACCTTTTCCCTTCACGTCTCCAGCCTTTCTTTGGACACAAATGACACTTGTCACCATCCACTCCACCCTGTATGCCTTTATTCTTCACCTCTTGTGTCTGCTGTTTGTTGCATTGGATGAATGACAACAGAAACTTTGAAATCTACTTTCAAGCTCTACCCTTTGACTTGTTTACCTCCACCTCTTCAGGCTCTCTTCTGCCTGATTCCTACCAATCAAAATGTCAAAATGTTAGTTTTTTTTWTTTTATTTTCACTCTCCCAGGTTTCTGGGATGTTTTTCTAGAGGCTCCTGCTCTTAAATTCCTCATGTGGTTTATAGAACGGATTGTTCATCGAGGGGTGGAGTGATCTGCCCTTTTTATTTTATTTTTTGCCATATTTATAGACATAGTTGGTCAGTTGAATCAGTCTCTCTTCTTGCCAATTTTCTCCTCAGTCCTCTCTGTTTTTGTGTTTGAGCAGAAAAGGGAGGAGGTGGGAGGAATGTAAAGGGGAAAAAACTTGTAGACTGCTAAATCAGCACTGCAGAATTAAAAGCAGGACTTCTTGGTGTTGTTTACCTGCAGTTGTTGCTCATGAAACTATAATCGTTTTAAAATGTCTGCAGTGGAACTGGTCTAATTTTCTTCCCCGTTTTACATTTACGGCTTCGTTTGTTATTGTTCTGAGCAGAGGAGTAGGCTCCGTATGTCTTGTAAAATTGTGAGTTTGTGGTATTCTCCATTCGGCATAATCCCCCCCCCCCCCCAAAAAAAAAAAAAAGCCCCAACCAAGAGTCTAGACTGGTTTGGGATTTGGAGATTTTTTTTGTTTTGTTATTTTTGCTTGTCCTTACTTTAGCAGCTCTCTGCTGATGTGTATCAACCTCTTGCAGAGGCATGTTTACCAGCAGTCAGAGGAAGTCTTACACATCTGTTCAACATTTGGGCCAGCTGTTACATGAAAGAGTAAAGCTAGAGATGGAGTGAACTTAGACTATAGATCCTTCTCCCTGTTTAAAGCAGGGGTTCTTACACACTGTAGAAATGCACACGTGGACCGAGGTTAGGAATGTAACCACTGATCAAAAACAAATTGCTTTTCTCTCCTCTAGGTTTCTGCATTCATCTGAACTAAAATGTCAGGACAAATTTTCACTTTTACGCTGCAATTATTCCCRTCATTCACAAACAGATCTATTATCACAAAGAAAACATTTTGGGAGCTGTCATCATTTCAGCTAAAATCGCTGTCTTCTCTTCAGTTCATTGACTTGCTAATGATACGTGTCCTACTGAGTAAAATAAATTATTCTCTGAGCAGCAAGTGAAACAGCCTTTACCACATGTCAGATCTGTCAGGATGATGGTAATGGGTTTCTACTCTTATGTATCGTCTGGTCAGTGGCACTTTAGAGAACAATCACCTCAGACAAGCGTCCATTTTCATGCATATATTTCACAATGACAGCTGATAATTAGTTTCCTCGTAGGGGTGCATGATTAAGTCACCTTAAGTGTTTTTTTTTTATTCTTGGTTGGCTGGTTTTTAAAAGCACAAGTGGTTTCCTCATCAGTAAATCAGCTGTGTTGGTTTTTAGAATTTAAATGAGCTGCTTTACTGACAGAAATGATCATAACTGAATTGTTTTAGGTAAAGAATCAGAATGAACGTTTATTTCTGGTGGTCAGACTCGTGTGATCACGCTGGTTCTGCTGGTGTTTAATAGCCCCCGTCAGTCATCCGTGGTGTCCACAAAAAGCTTCGCTTCAGCGTTTGCCTGTGAGCTGAATAATTCATTTCTCACGCACGCAGAATCCAGACTGGTGTGTTTGCGAGACGACTCAAACCCTAAATGGAAAATGAATGCAGAAGTGTAGACTGACCACATTACAGAAATTGCCTCTGTTTCCTCTCACTTTTCTTTTTTTTTTTTTCTGGTCGGCTTGTATTTTTTTTTTTTCCTGAGAAGAAGAAAAAAATAACAGCTGCATGACATCAGGTCTGGAAGTCATTATGCTGAGCAGCTTTCTGACATTTTAACTCTCTGCACTCCCTCCTGCTGTGAGGAACAAGAGATGGTCTCCAGGGAGAACAGAAACACTCACATGTAGAACCTGATTTCAGTTTGTTTGGTGGTGTTATGCATTAATATTTAAAATATGAGCTTTATTCCTTCTCAGGACTTTGTAATGTTATAAAGGGTGCCAGTGTGTAAACACTGACGCACCCTTTTTTTACTGTTTACTCCCMAATATTAGTTTTCAACACAATTTTTGATTTGCTCTTCTAACTGCTATGCAGCTTTGGAAAACATTGCATAATCTACACA